CTATATATGTATACTTTTCTGTTATATCACCTTTTTTTTACTAAAAAGGAGGAGAATACAGGTTAAAATTAAATATGTATAGGAAAAGGAATTATAAATACCATCAAAATAAAATGGAACTCGCTCAGAAGCTGAAATACACCAAGTAAATGAGATGAAGAGTGAGAAGTAGAGGAGAAAGGGAAGGGAAGAAGAGAGGGATAGGAGAGAGGGCAAGGGGAGGGGGAGAGGAGGAGAGAAATGAGGAGTGGTAAGGGGAGGGAGGAGAAGGGGAGAGGAAGGGGAAGTTGAGAAGGGAAGGATGACAGAGGGAAGAAAGGAGGGAGTGGGAGGAGAGAGGGAGAAGAAAGTGATGGATGAGATATAAATATGGTGTATGGAGAAGAGAAGAGCCAAAAATTAGCTTTTGGGAGTTGTTGGTAAGATGAATTGATGTAAACATTTAATAATACAATATGTGTTGGCTATGTAATAGTACACATATGATTATATGTTATGAAAATGAAAAAATAAAAAAGTTTATTAAAAAAAAGTCACGTTTGAGTTGCAATGATTTTATGGACATATAATTTTTTTGATGATTAAATGGAAGAGGTCTGCATTCTTTCAGGGTGTTTTTACAGCTTTCCAGCCTAGTCTACATTTCTGGTATCTCTTCATCATTTCCCATCCACAAAATAACCAAATGTAATCCTGTTCACCTTTTTTTATATCAATTAGGGCAATTATTTGAAGGCAGATGTTTTAAAAATACAAATGGTGAGAGTAACAAGGACAATGATAAGTGAGCAACCAAGCCCTTCCAAATTTACTAGGATATTCATATTAAATAGTAGGTCATTTTGAATTATAAACAACAGATGTTTTACTCTGATCAATGCAGTAAGAAAACTGTCTGTCGTAGTGAAGATGCTGGAACATTTCTGAGCTGCTGCTACTCCTTAGTTTTAGCAGACTTTAAGGACAATGCCTTTAACAGCTAAATATTTGGCTGGGAAGCAACGTGTGTGTGCCTCCACTCTCAACATGGGAGCAAAATCATCATCTTTTTACACCACGTAATGGGACAGATTATGGAAACTCAGAAGTATCTTAACACTGAACTGTAAATTTTGCTAGTAATAATATCGCATAATAAACTTGATCTAAATAAGATTGCTAAGCATGGAGTTAACTGCATGTCCCCAGCAATCCTAAGACACTCAAGGCAGAACATCCCCCCTTTCCTTGTCTTGGTCTTTCCTGTCCCTTCTTGGAAGCTCAAATGCAAAAGGAGAAACACTCCTTGCCTTGTGATCAAACGCCTCTTTTGCTGGTAGTTTGTGGCCATTTAAAAGACAGAACAAACCAGGCTAGTTTAGGTACTTTTCCCAGGCATTTCTAGTTCATGCATTCAGTTGCTATATTCTCCCAAAATGGTCAATCAGCCAGCTGTACACAAAGCCAAATCTAGATTTACAGTAATCAAGTACTTAGGCAAGCAAGGACTTGTCTTGTAATGCGAAGAGCAAAGGAAAAAAACCTGAATTTTGAGCAGTTCCACCATTAAATTTCACTAGTGCCATAAACTCCCCAGGTGAGTTTAAGCTGGTTGCTTTTCCACCACAGCCCCAGTTCCACACAATCAAGACTCTTAAACTTGGAAATTAGGGATCAGGTTTACACTCGAGCAGCCTGTCTAAGCGAAAGAAAGAAGACTCACCTCCATGAGTTGGTCGTGCAGGTGGGGGTCAAAGTCTCCTTCCAGGTCACTTTCTTGAAAACTGTTGCCTGCTCTACCAGTGATCTTATGCAGCTTCTCCAGCCGTTCCAGGATCTCCTGGCGTTTCAGGTTCTTCAGGTGCTTCAGCTCCTGCTGCTTCTGTTCCCTTTCCTTTTAGACAAATTATTTAAACCAACAAAGTCCATGAACTAGGAAAGAGAGTGTTAATTAAGATATAAAGGAGGTACATTAATTAATGAGGTACATTAGATCAAGATTTAGGCCAGGTTCCATGCCACTCACTTTTATCTTGCGCTCCTGTGTTTTTTGGCGCTTCTCTTTGCGGTGCTCATCCTTTCGACGGACAGATGTTGCAATAATGCGGGGATATGTTTTTACCTGTTAGGGAGGAAATGAGAGTGAAAAGAGAAAGGGGCTTTTACCCAACGTTTTTGGAACTGAGAATTTTCCCATTCAGCTTTCTACCACACTTCCACCACACTTACCTGTTGTGCTTCAGGTTCCTCAAAACGAAAGTTGTACTTGCGCTCAAAATCCTCTTGCTTCTTTAAGAAGAATTCACCCTCATCTGATGAGTCTGAAACAGCCAGCTGGATCCCAGGTAGCCTATGGGGAGGCAGCACATATCGGACACAGCATTAAGTAAGTCGGTGATTCTTAAAGCATGATGCTAGGATCACTGGAGGTCCCAAGACTCTCTTAAGGGGCCATGAAATCAAAATGCCGCATATTAAAGATATTTGCAAAACTTTAAAACAATGTAAACTTAATTTGTTAAAAATATTGGGAATTTTCATGAAAAGTATTTATGTTAATATCTAATGAACTTAATATTGTTATTCAATAAATAAATATTTTATAAATGCATCAATTTTAATGTTTAACATTAATAAATATAATCCATACAAATGAAAACTTTTTCATGGTCCTCATTAATTTTTAAAAGAGGGAAGGGGTCCTGGGAGCAAAAGGTTTAAGAAACTGACGTGATCAAACACAGCTGAAATATTTTCAACAATCCAATATTCCTCTTTCTGCCCCAGCCCATTACATAACACTTCCGGAATTCTCAGGAGCAGCCTTATTTCAAAAATAGGTCCTATCTCCACTGGAGTTATGTCTAAATTGTAGCTAAATTATTTATAAACCATTTCTAAATAAAGCACGCTCTCGAGCAGTCACCCGGCAAACCCCCTTTCCAGCCAGGCACAGCACCATTCACTGACCTACGGGTATCGCCAAGCTGTGTGAACGCCTGTTCACCGCCCCCTGGCTCCCACAGCTTGGCGCGTTCAGAATGCCCCTAGGTCAGTGAATGGGGCTCTGCAGGGCTGGAGAGGGGGGTTGTACAAGCGGCTTCTGGCAGTGGCTGCTCTGGGAATATGCTCTATGGTTGTGGGCCGGCTGCTGGCAGAGCGTATTCCCAGAGAGTACAACCATAGAGCGTACTCCCAGAGCGGCCACTGCCGGAAGACTTGGCATTCTACCTCCGTGGTTTGGAAGGCACAGAAAAAGCCATGCTGGGATGGTGGCGGCAGCAGCGGAGGTGCCCTGGCTCTGCAGGGAGAGTTGGGCAAGGGCATCGTGAGGTTGGGAGGCATGCGAGTGGGAGTGGAAAAGCCGCTTGCGGAACCCCCCTCTCCAGCCATGCAAAGCCCCATTCACTGACCTAGGGATATTCCAAAGACACCAAGCCGCGGGAGCCGGGGGGCAGAGAACAGGCACTCACGCGGCTCGGCGATACCCGTAGGTCAGTGAATGGTGCTATGCCTGGCTAGAAAGGGGGTTTGCCGGGTGACTACTCATGAGCGTGGTCACTTCATGGCTGCTGGGTTGCGCTGCTGTGACAGCGCAATACAGCTGTGCCTGGCTCTTCGGGAGCCTGCTCGGAAGAGAGCAGATGCCCGGCAACCCCCCTCTCCAATTGGGCACAGCGCCATTCACCCACTTAGCGGTATCCCAAAGATGCCAAGCAACATGAGCACACACACGGTTTCCACAGCTTGCCGCCTTCGGGATACCGCTAGGTCGGTGAGTGGCACTGTGCCTGGCTGTGGGGGGAGGAGTTTGTCCAGGGGGCTTATTTTCAGGGGAGGGCTTATATTTTTGCCCACCCGAAAAATGTGGCATGGCCTTATTTTCAGGATACGGAAGTGATAACCTCAAAGTTTTTATACATAAATTTGAATATAGATCTGTGTAATACATTATTAGTAGATTGTGAGAAATCAGGGGATCCCTTTCCTATTAGCTCACTCTCCAATTTTGAAGGGGAAGAAAAAAGTCAAAAGCTTAAAAAGTATTGACCCTTTCGGTTGATGCTCCTCTTCCTCCTCCTCCTCCTCCTCACTGCTTCCTTCCTTATAGCCTTGGTTTAAGATATAATCTCTCAGAAACTGCTCTCCTTCATCCAGTTTTGGATCATTCCAGTATGTTTTCAGTGGTATCTGTGGAGATAATTAGAAATACACAACATATTACTGAAAATCCAAAACATATTACTAAGAATGAAAATGTGAACAAAAATCACCATTAAATTGAAAGATAACTGCCAGCCCACTTTCTTTACTCAAGGATGATCTACAGAACTTTTTTATGACCATTTTATCCTAAAACCGTGGAAGGTGGTGGACAAACTATGATGAGACAGAAAGAACACCAACAAGATCTTTCAAGTTTTTGGTTTTTTGATATGTCACCTTCCTAATGAGCCTTTTTCCTTCCGTCATTTTATTGCAGCAAATTGCCATTAAAATGAGTCAGAGGAAGATCAATAAAAGAAACCACTCAAATGGTGAAGAATAAAGTCTGTCCTTCTTTCTTACTTAGTACTCTCAAATGGAAGTTCTAGATCAGTAAATAGATTATTTTCAGAGAATAATCCAAGTCAGATGAATAATTGTTATCTGGATTTATAGGGCCTATTAAATACCAAGAATCAATTATATGCTAAACCAAAATAACTTCCAGCTATTCCAACCCATTTGTACAGTTGTCCACATCAATTGTCCCCAGCCCTTTACTAACCAGATCTTGAAGTTCATTCTCTGCTTCTAGCTTCTTTCGACCTTTCAACCAGCTGATATAGTCTGCTTCCTCATGTTCCTGGGGAAGAAAGAGATTAAGTGTTAAACTGACACTAACACCCCTTTAGAATTCCAGCATCATGTTCTGGTGATTTTTATTTACATTTACATCAAATTCATCCTTGAGTTAGGTTATTTTCAGTCAAAATATTTGTACTTTTATTTTGCCCTTAAAAATACCAATATATATATATTTGGCTACTGAAAAATTGAGTTTCTTTCTCCATTATAATCCAAGTTTTCAAAACCTAAGTAATACCTGGGCTATCTTAAAAGAGTTTTGCGTGATAATAAAGTTTAGAATGGCTGTGTATTTTAGGAAGCAAATTATCCTTTGCCTCATGATGTCATATCTGCCATTTGTCATTAATTTTAATTGGCAGTTGACAAAACTGGATGGCATTATTCTTTTCCACCACAGCCACAAATTCAAACCCTCCTTAAACACTTTACTTTCTTCCTTCTTCCCTCCAGCAAATGGCTCCAGATTCTTCCAACTCAATGATTTTCAGCAATACAACTTGATATTTTTAAATGCGGTTTTAAATCCAGGAAAGATAGAATTACCATATTTTTCGGAGTATAAGACGCACCCAAGTTTTGAAGAGGCAATTTTTTTTTTTAAAGTAGGTAGATAGATAAAGGGATAGAGAGGGAGAGAAATACAGTAGGTAGGTAGGTAGGTAGAGGGATAGAGGGAGAGAAAGTGAGAGAGAGAAATACAGTAGATAGGTAGACGGGGAGAGAGAGAGCGAAATATAGTACGTAGGTAGGGAAAGAGAGTGTGTGTAGATAAGTAGGTAGAGGGATAGAGAGAGAAATAGAGATAGAGAGAAAAACAGTAGATAGGGAGGGAGGGAGGGAGGGAGAGAGAAGGTTGGTTGGTTGGTTGGTTGGTAGAGGGATAGAGAGAGAGAAATAGAGAAATACAGTAGATAGGTACAGGGAGAGAGAGGGAGAGAGAGAGAGAGTAGCTAGGTAGGTAGATGTTTCCAGGTGTATTTATCCATGTGCTGGAAAAGGAAATCATTGATATCCTGTAGCACCTAAAACTTTGTTTCTGCTGGTACAGCGCTGGACCAATGTAATTCTCATCAATTCCTCTAACTAAACAGCTTTCCGAAAGGGGGGAAAAGTTTTTGCACTCTGCAAACCTCCCCAAAACGGGCCCGTTTTTTTTTAAAGGCATGAATAATCTGGGGGGGGACTTGCAGAGTGCTCGTGGGGGGGCAAAAACGAGCAAAAAACCAGCCCGTTTTTCTTGAAAATGGGCCGGTTTTTTTGAGAACTAAATGGAAAAAAAAATGTATTTCCCATCTTTCCCCCTCAGAAACTAAGTAGCTGAGTTCCAGAAGAGTACCCTGCTTAGATGAGCAAAAGGAAGACCTAAATAATACCACCTCATATAGACACATACTTTCTCTTCCTTACTTTTAACCCGTTTCTGAAGTAGAGCTGAAGAATTATCACCTTCTTCTTCATCACTTTCTAGCACAAATTTTCGGAAGCTGCATCCAAAAGAAAGGTAGGTGTAATATAACATAAAGTGTTTTTTGAGGTTAAAAATTAATACCACAACACAGCACATGATCACAAACATTTACAACTACATTAGATTCAATTAGTAAATTGCAATACTTTTACCTGTGGCTTATCAATTAAGTAACTGAGTTCATTAAACCACTAATCCAGAACTATAATTTTTTTAATGAGAACTGGGTTGAGAGAAACAAAACCAGGCAAATTACATTTTGGTTCAATGGAATGTTCAAATCGAACCAAAAAGAAATTCTCTGCTCCAAACAACCCCAGCACTTAAATACTTCAGTTGCCACCAAACATTCTTTGCTTATGACAAACACAGCTGCAGAAAAATAAAAAGTGGAACTGAAATAAACTCCAGAATCCGTAATTACTCAATCTTAAGAGATATGTAATAAAAGATGGACAGTTTAATGAGCATATAGAAAGTGCACTAAGCAAATATGAAAAAATTATACCTTACTCCCGCAACGCCAGAGGTGGGTTTCTCCCAGTTTAGCCCAGGTCGGGAAAACCGGCAGTGGCGGTGGCAGGAGGCTCCACCCACCTGTCTGGATGCTTCTGCGCATGCGCACAAGCGAATCAGTAGTAAAAAAAACTGGAAACCCACCACTGCCTATCTAGGAACAGAGTTCCAAGATGATTTACTCCCAAATCACACCTCTTTTTTATAGACGCTTACCATTTGGAGGATATGTACCCATACTGAGCAAACAGCATGAAGATTTTCAACCACCCAAGTTGTTTCCACCGAGTTCCTAGCTTTCAGGTAGCTAATAACTACAATGAATTCTTGCCTTACCCCTCCTTCAGCTCCTTCTGTTCTTCTATATAAGTCTGGGAAAAGAAGACAGGGAAAAAGAAGATTCACCCGGAAACTTTACATATTGCTAGAAGAGTTTATGAGAGGATTCAGACTTCAAATGCAGACCCCTTCCAGACTCACCAGTGGCTTTTTAACCGTTATCTCTTCTTCCTCTTCATCTTCATATTTGCTGCAGGAAAAAAGAACGAGTTAACCAACCCTTGCTAGTAAACACTTGAAATGAAACAAACCAAATTATCATAACTGGCTGACAAACCGTCCCCAATGAGTAGGTACCAAGGCTAATTAGGTACCAAGTGCACCCCAAGTCCAATAAGGCTGTGAGGACCCCCCCCTTACTCCCGAGGGCATCAAACGATGGTGGCATTTGTCATTGGGTCGTCTTCCCCTTTGCTATCGCTTTCACAGAAGCCCAAGCTGGGCTGACTGTGGGTCGAAGTTCTCCTCCCTTCACTGGATGAGGGAGGGACCCCCAGGCCCTCCTGTGCCACCCATATTTCCTCTTTCAGCTTTGCGGGTGGTTTCCTTGCCTTTGGCTGGGCTGGCTATGCAAGATGCTGGCCACAGCACGAGGCAATTGGCCGCTTGGTGACCCTCCTTCCCACATCAGAAACACACTCCTGGGCTCCAGTGGGGCTTCTCCCCTGTGGCAAGGGGGGGGGGGGTGCACCCCCTTTTCCTCCACAGGGCACCAAGTGTCTCTCAGTCATTCAGCGGGGCCGGTTCTCATGTGCCGCATGTTCCCAGCACTCCATCAGGTCAAGCTCCACATTTGTGGCTAACCGGTATTACACTCGAAGGTTGAGGTAATTGTGTTACAGGTTCTTGTTCAACCCCTCCCTGAACTGGTAGACCAGTATACATCTCTCTACTGCCTGTCATCTTGTTTAATGGACTGATTGTTTCATTGACTTTTTATCCTGTTATTTATATGTTGAAAGAAATTTTATTATCTTTGACTTTTGTTGCAAGTCTTCGTTCATTCTGAGCCTTTGCTTTCCTGGTTTCATCTCTGCAGATTAGGCTACCTGGTGATATTCAGCCTTTGTTACGTCTTCCTCTTTCCATTTTTTATACTTATCCTTTTTCTTTTCATCAGAGAGATGGTTGTGCAACCATGCTGGTTTCTTCTTGGATTTGTTTTTCTTTCCCAGTGGTCTTGTGCCGGACTGGGCTTTTATGACCATATTTTTCAATGTTTCCCACATTTCTTGTTTTCCCCTTTAGGATTTTTATTCATGAAAATTTGCTTAGGCTTTCTCTGAGTTTGTTAGAATCCGCTAGTT